CCCCCATTCCCTCCGTGTCACAGGTTGGCCCAGGCCGTAAAGATCCTCATCGCCCTGGCTATATTCGGATCACACCCCCTTCAGTGTTACGTGGTGATCGACATCATTTGGAGCACCTACCTGCAGCCGCGCCTCGCCAAGCACCCCCACGTCCTGACCATCGAGTACGTCGTCCGTGCAGCCATCGTCACCACGGCCTGTAAGTACAAAGAGAGCTGTTTTTGTAAGTTGTTCCAAACCCTTTTAAAAGGAACAATTTTTGGACAGTTTCCTAGACTGTCTTTAACAGAAGGAACAAAGAGCGGGCGCTTGCGTGTGTCTGTTTTTTTTTTTTTTTTGTTGTTTTTTTTTACTACATCCCGTGCTCAGACAAAACTGACAAGTTCTATCTGAACTGATACAAGTTGTCCCCATAGATGGATTAAAATTAAAAAAAAAAGACAACACCTGACAGTAACAACCCTTTGACAGTCCTGTTCGCCGTGGCCATCCCCAACCTGGGCCCTTTCATCTCGCTGGTCGGTGCGCTGTCACTGTCCGTGGTAGGCATCATGCTGCCCGCGCTCATCCAGCTCAGCACCTTCTGGTACCACACCAACGGCTTTGCCTTCAAATGGCTCGTCACCAAGAACTGCCTGCTGTCCGTCTTCGCCCTCATTGGCCTGATCTCCGGCACCTACGCCTCCATCCTCGACATCATCAAACAGAGCTAAGCCGTCGGGATGTGACAGGGCGCGCACATTTGCTCAAACGCGGCTGTTGCATTATCTTTAACAGAACACAGACTGACTATATAAATTAATGCCCGCTAGGGGCGCCTCCGCCAGGCCATAATACCCGTGTGTGCACGTCGCATGGCCACAATTCGCTTCTAGACAGTTCACGCTCAGGGAATGACCCATATCTGTGGACAGTAAGCGATAGAGTACCTGATATTCCTGTATAATTCTAAGGCCATGTGATAATCCGTAAGAGAGTCTGGACGTGACACTCAGGCACTGATTAATGTGTTACCATATCAACCTTTTTTCTACGATATATTGTCCACTTGAGAAGTAACTGCGCCGTACTGTTTTCATTCCAGTACGTATCAACTCACTTTAAGGTTAAT